GCGGGGGTGGGGGAGGAGGATGGGGTCCAGCCATACCCGGACTCCTCAGGGAAGGGGATTAGGGAGCCGGGGGGGGGAAGGGGGGGAGAGGAGGGGGGGAGGCTTTGCCCCATGGCTCAGCGGGGGATTTCCCCAACAGCCCTGCCTGACCCTGTCCTCTGTGCAGTGAATAACCCAGCGTGCCTTGCCACCGAGCCTTGCTCAACTGTCGCATTTACTGTTAAACTTTGTTAAATTGTTGGTTTGTGTCTGTAAATACGTCACTGCTTCTCTCTTAGAGTAATGTGCATCGCTCCCTCCACCACAGTGGCACAGGGTGGGTGCCAGGGTCCCCTGGGATGAGGGGTGCCCAGGCACTGGGATCACCCCATGGGGGTCCTGGACACCCTTGGGATGTGTGGGGCCCGAACACCTGTGTCCCCTCTGGCGGGCCTGGACGCCTGGGTGCCTTCTGTGGGGCGGCTGGTGGTCCAATTCCCCCCCCCCACTGCCCCCGACGGCTTTCACTGAGCGTGCATGGGAGAGGTGGCTGGAAAAGCCTTTTTCTTCAGTTGCTGTACCTGTGAACTATGGGGGTTATGGTGCTGGCACAACCAATTCGACCATTGTTGTGATTTTCATTGCACTTAAATAATTGTTTTAACAGTAAAAAGGATTGTGTTTTTTCCCACCAGGAGAAGCAAACGAGCCCATCTGACACATCTCCAGCCCATCTCCCCTCTCAAGATAATTTGGTTTCGCCGATGGTGGAAAAAAGTCATTGTCTGCAGCAGAAATGAAACGCCATTCCCACAGAACCGAAGTGAGGGCAGACAAGCAGACAGACAGCGCGGAGCCTGGTGGCTTCTCGTTGGAAAGGCATTTCTTCAGAACCACCTGAAGAGATGGTGTTACGATCACCTCTGTGTATGTATTGCTCTACTTCAGTTTTGGCGTTGGTTCTAGTTTTTGTCTCTCACTTTGCTCTTCTGAATGGACTGTAGAAGCTACAAGGACTAACAGGGGTGGGAAATGCACCGAAGTGTATTTCTGACTTTCTCTGGATTAAGCAACATTCCAAAAGTGCACTGTCAGCTGCCCAGAAGGATGACATTTGTGGCCAGCAGGTTGAGGGGGGTGATTTTACCCCTCTACTCTGCTCTCATGAGACCCCATCTGGAGTACTGCGTCCAGCTCTGGAGGCCTCAGCACAAGAAGGACACGGAGCTGTTGGAGCGGGGCCAGAGGAGGCCCCGGAGATGCTGGGAGGGCTGGAGCCCCTCTGCTGGGAGGACAGGCTGGGAGAGTTGGGGGGGTTCAGCCTGGAGAAGAGAAGGCGAAAAAGGGGAGAGCTCAGAGCCCCTTCCAGTGCCTGAAGGGGCTCCAGGAGAGCTGGGGAGGGACTCTGGATCAGGGAGGGGAGCCGTGGGACGAGGGGAACAGTTTTACACTGAAAGAGCGGAGATTGAGACGAGATATTAGGAAGAAATTGTTGGGTGTGAGGGTGGTGATCCCCTGGGGCAGGTTGCCCCAAGAAGCTGTGGCTGCCCCATCCCTGGAGGTGTTCAAGGCCAGGTTGGACGGGGCTTGGAGCAACCTGGGCTGGTGGGAGGTGTCCCTGCCCTGGGCAGGGGGGGCGACTGGATGAGCTTTAAGGTCCTTTCCAACCTAAACCATTCTGTGATTCTATGATTTAGGCTGGTACAGTAACATTCTTTACGAGTTTCAGTGGCAGCTTTCTGTGCTGAAAAAATGTTCCCTTAACATTTTGTAAATGTTTGTAAATGGAGAGCAGCTGAGCTCTGCAGCTGCCTGTGTGGGTGAGTGTTGCTGATGGCTGTCGCACGACTGGAATGCTGATCTCTATTGCAGCGTGGATGGTCTGGCTCTGCCTCCGCTGCCCAGAGAGTTCCTTCTGGCCAGAACGCTGTGCGGAAGGACAAGCAGGTTGCAGGGCATGCTGTCCACGTCTGGGATGGAACGGGTGCATGGAGAAATGGCTGTGACTTCATTGTTCCAGTCTGAGCTGCCTGCTGATCTTAACGTGCAGTTGCCAATCTGACTCTTTCACGGGGCATTGTATAAAAGAGTAGAGAGTGTGCTTCCCACTTTAACCATAGAGCAACAGGAGTTCTTTAACTGTGTGTGAAATTATATATATTCTTGCAGGTATTTGGGGACAAATGGAAGCTGTAAGTTTGTTTAGCTTATAAATCTTTGCTTGATTTTTTTATTTTATTTTGTTCAGGTCCAGATAGAAATACAATATTTGTAGTAAATGAAAAACTAGAGGTCATGACATGGAAGCAGGGATTTATTTGCTTTATACAGAGACCTCTTTGTTTCTGTCTGTGGGTTCTGTCTGTGGTTCACTGTAAGACACTATGACAATATTGTATCTTCATTGTGCCATTTCTTTCTTTTCCAGTTCTAGGAATGGGCATAGAAATAGATGATCTGGAACAGTTTGGGTTGTCATCAGTAAGTATGACCTTGCAATGTTTTGTTTGCCTTCCTGGCAGAGGGGGGAGGAAAAGAAGAGGAAATTGCGAAGCCTTAAATGTTTCTGTGAAATAACTTCACTTGGAACTTGCCCACAGAAATACAGGTTCTGTTCTGAAGGAGTGTACCGGCAAGGCTGGCAGCAGCACAGAATGCTTAATGCTTATTTAACCCATTATCTTAAAA